TGTGTGTGTGTGTGTGTGTTTGAGTTACTCAAACTACTGAGTTACTGCTCTTTAAAAGGGTGCTGCAGTTTCTCCCCAATTGCTTTTTCAAACCAGCTAGCTCAGGAAGCAGGCCAATAAAACTCCATCCAGACAGTACATGGAGTTGCATGTTCTCCTCTCTCTGTAATGACTACAAGTGAGACTTATTGAAGCGAGATACTGCTTCAGCCAGCCACATCGGGGCCCTGCGCTTTCCTTTGTCTTCTTAATTGACCCAGACTGCTTAGTTGTGCTTTTTTGCCACTTGCCTTTCTGTTTCATCCGACTCTATGGATCTGACACTCTGACCTGTGGCGTGGCTGACGGGAAGCACAAGGGTTTGGTGCTTAGCGCTGGCAGTTCTGGGTTCGTTTCGGGCGTTGGGAATCTTTCTAAGTGGAGTTTGCATGTTTTCTCTCAGTTCATGTGGATTTTGTGCTCTGCTTTCCTTCCATCTTCCAGAAACAAGCTGGCTTGCTTGAATGGTTGTTCCAAATTGCCCCTTCCTATGTGGTTCCAGTTATGGACTGGGGGAAAGCCAGTATGCTCCCGAGATATCACATTATGCTGGAAGATTTCAAATTGTGGAAACTCTCCTTTGATCCAAATGCAGTCACAGCAAAATGTTATCAGTTTTACTCTAGCAGTATGTTATACTTGAACACTTGTCTCAGTGAAGTTTTAAGTGATAGTAACCTGTAGGTGCACACATTTCCCATCTTCTTGGCTGAGTCTGCAGCGAGATGTCAGCATATTCCGTTGAGCAGCTCAGTGCCAGAGAGATGGAATGAATGCATCCAGCTCTGCAATCAGACGTTCGTTTTCCCGTTTCAAAAGTAGAAGAGAATGAATCAGCTGGCAGATCCTTCCCCTTCCACATTATCTGTGTCGTGTCCCTATTTATCATCAGATGCAATGGACACTAAAAAGAAAAATTTGGGCTGTGTAACATAAAAATAAAGCAGTCTTTTTCTTGCCTGGGAGCAGAAAGCGTGAAGGGAGTTCAATTTGAAAGCCCCCCTCAGTGCTCATGCAGTAGCAGTGTTCCGCTCCAGCCAGCGACATAGTTCTGTCCACAATGACGACAGTCCCTGGCCTGCTCCGCTCCAGGTCTTATTGCTCAGGATGATGTATGAGAGGAGGGGAAGACGCATGGTTAGTTACAGAGAGACAAATAGATTTTAAATAAAGGTCTGGACGTAAGTCATTGTTTTTTTTTTCTTATCTTAGCCATTGCAAGAAATTTTGCAAAAAAAAGTGCCAGCCAAATTTATAATAATAATAAAAATAA